CCACTGCTCTACTCACCGACGATACGCCCACTGACGATCCGCTGAGCTGTTGACATCGCCAGGAATGATGAAATTGTCCCCTCCTTTGAGCCCATCGATGATGGCTTGTCTCAATCTTTGTTGAGAAGCCTCGGGGGAGTTGGCCTGCTGAGCACTGTAAAGCTCAATGAGGGGCGCTTCCAGCGCGGAGCCAACTGATGCAGCTCCAGCAGGTTGAGCAGCTTTGCTAACTAAAGGCTTGGCAGTAGCCGTGGCTGGCTGCGCAGGCGCAGGCGTAGGTGTCGTCGCTGTCGGCGCCATGGTGCGTGCGTATGGTATGTCGCGTGCTGGTATGTCTCCTACAGCTAAACTTTGTCACTAGAAGCTGATCGTTGTAAAGAACGTTGTAGTCAAGTATATAGGTGAGGTGGTGTTGCAAAAGATCTACGGTACATTCAAGGATTTGTAGAGCCTCCTGCCGAAGTTCAAATAGAAACACCGTTACAGTAGTATTGCTGCCTGATGATCAGCTGAGCCCGGGGTCCCGTTCGCGGAGCTTTGCCGCTGCAGCAGAAGCACGAGGTGGAGGCTTGGGACTTGCCGTAAGGGTCCATAAATCACAGCAGCACCACCTATAGGCGCCGCGCGCGCCATTTATACAGCAGTATATCAGTCTGCGCTGTGGGCGCGTGGGTCCGGCCGGCACAGCAGCTAGCACAGCAGCGCAGTCAGCAGCAGTACAGCGCGGCTGCGGTCAAGCCACGTCTCCATGCACAGAGCAGACGGACGTGCTGCGATCTTCGATCAGCTTTTCGCATGCACCTCACACATGCATCACCCCTCACGAAGTCAGTAATTTCTCATTTGGTTGTTTCACAATGAACTGTCAGAAAGTCTTGCATACGAGTCAATAAGCTTCAGTGGGCCGGGCACCGGGTCACCTTGGCACGCTTGATCGAACAGCACGCAGCAGTCAAGAATCACGAGCGCAGTAAAGCTCTGTGCAGGTGGCCTCTGTATAGTCGCGAGCGAGTCTCTCCCACGAACAGCTCCCAGAAGCGCATCTAGCTGTGAGGACTACATGTAGCTATGCAATTCTGATGAACGACCATGCACTCACACTGATTCGGCGGGAACGTTTCGACAGTAGTGTTTGGGGGAGGACAAATTCGAGAGCTGACTGATGTACCGGCGCGCAATGTGTGTGATCGCGGGTACAAGCCATTCGCAGGATTCACGATTGTCGCCAGCAATTGTGAGTGCTCTAGCGATCGCGTAAATGTCGATTGAAAGCGTATCCAGCACAGCCCCCACCCCTGCACGGATGTGGGCAAGCCTCTCGCTATCATCAAACATGACGAATGGTTGAATGAATGAGATGTGATTCACAACAGATCGTCACAGACGGCTCTCCACAAGCCACTACGCCGCTGCCACAGCTGATCGGTACTCTACCAAATCACGAATATAGTCCTCAAGAGACACGATGCTCGCAGCGCGTTCCACCCTGAGCTGTCTCGGCAGGAAAGCGGGTCACAGTCTTATCACGGGCACCGCGCTGCGTCCGTCGTGTATACCGGCGCTCGAATGGGAGTTCAGCCACAGACTACATGGCTGTACAGTATACTGCATGTAGAGCGACCGGTCGGCTTGGCTGTCTTCTTGACTGACCAGTCTCTTCAGCATACCTGCCTTCTCTCCATACCTCTCATGGCCAAGAGCCCCCCCACTTCCCTCCGCTTCCCGTACTGATGATGGGGTTTGGGGCGCTAATTGCGTGCCACTCGTGCGAGCCACAGACAGACGCCCAGTCGTGAGTGTGGACGAGCCTAACGATTACCTTCATGCTGCTGCAATCTTCGCAATTCCGAATGATGGTGGGTATTCCTGCCGCCTGATGCTTTGCTTTGCTTTGCTTTGCTTTGCTTTGCTTGCTCTGGTGGTGACTATATAGCAGGCAACGTGCTGTTGGGGTCGCTCGGATCTCGAAGAATTTCCAGCTTTCTTCTGGCATGATATCAAGCTAGCGTGCACGTTGGGTAGTGGACTCAAGACTGTCGTCGAAGACACGTGACCTTGTCACTTCGGCGTCTTTTTTGAATCGCTTCAAAATTTTGATTTTGATGTGCCTGCTGCTGTGCCTGATATTGGGGGTGCGTGCTGCAGGTATGCGCGGTGCACGGGCGCGAGAAGCATCATGAACATGCACCGATCAGTCAAAGTGTGAGTGCCCCTGCTCATACATCATAGCTTACAGCCTCACGAGTCCATCAAGAAAGCTGACGATCTCACGACGCTCGAGTCCATCATAGTGTATCAAGTTGCAAGCATCTGTGTCCAGCCACGCCATTGCCCAATCGCTGCTCCGTGAAGGCGATCATCGAGAAGCATTCCCAACAGTGATGTCCCAAGGCCCGTTCTACATTGGAGTCGATGTGTAAGTGCATGCGCATCGAGGAATGGCCCTGTTGCCAGGTTGAAGCTTCAGGCTGAGAGTCCATGGTATTGGCCATCATTCTCTCTCAGCGGCACAGGCTCGGCTCGAGCCGCTCTGCTGGACGCCGACGGCAACATCCTCTCCGAATCCACTCACGCCACCCGCACATGGCGATCCGACGCAGACGCACGCATCTTTGAGCAGTCCACCGACGACATTTGGGCTCGCATCAGTCAAGCCGTTCGAGATGTGCTCAAAATATTGCCGGCAGGTACGAGCAGCAAGGATGTCAAAGGGATAGGATTCGACGCTACTTGCTCTTTGGCCGTCATCAATGCAAACGGCGAACCGATCGAGGTCACACCGGAACCTGAAGGCAATTGGAAGGTCGGAGGAGCAGAAGGAGAGAGGCGCAACATCATACTCTGGGCCGATCATCGGGCTGAGGAAGAGGCAAAGAAGATCAACAGTACAGGTAGCATGGTGCTCAATTACGTTGGGGGTACCATGTCGGTGAGTATGCGTTCCTATGGAGGGAAGCAATTTTGAGTCTCTAAGCATACATACTGATCAAGAACTTGGGCACGCCCGTAGCTGGAAATGGAAGTTCCAAAGATGCTCTGGCTATCCACCCGCATGCCCAAGCAAACATTCGCCTCCGCGCACTTCTACGATCTGCCAGACTACCTCACCTATCGCGCAACCGGAAGTCGAGCTCGGTCAAATTGCAGTCTGGTGTGCAAGTGCTCCTACGTTCCCCCAGGCGTGGGAGGTAGCAGCACAGGCTGGCAGCACGATTTCTTCAACAAGATAGGATTATCATCCATCGCTGATGAGGACTTTGAGCGAGTGGGTGGTATTCCGGGCAAGGGCGGCTTGGTCTTGACAGCTGGACAGCCGCTCGGATCGGGTTTGACGAAACAAGCCGCGCAAGATTTGGGCTTAGAAGAGGGCACGGCTGTCGGCTCTGCACTCATCGACGCGTACGCTGGCTGGGTTGGGACAGTCGCAGCTCAAGCCGTCAATGCTACAACATCAGAACAGGAACAAGACACTGGGCTTGCACAAAGTCAACACAGATTGGCAGCCATCGCCGGCACGAGTACGTGCCATGTAGTGCAGAGTCCGCAGGGCATCGACGTCAAGGGCGTTTGGGGTCCGTACAAGAACGCCGTGTTTCCCGGCATGTGGATGAATGAAGGGGGTCAAAGCTCCACTGGTCAGCTGATCGACTTTATCATTGACACGCATCCCGCGATCTCGACGCTCAAGGAGAGAGCAACGACGAACAAGTCCAACTTGTTCACCGAGCTGCACGGTATCTTGGATACACTGCAAGAAAAGGCAGACTTGTCACATCCCTCTTACCTCATTCGCGACCTGGTGCTCTACCCCGATCTGCACGGCAATCGAAGTCCCTTAGCAGACAGCGGCATGCGAGGACTCGTCAGTGGTCTAGCCCTGGACCGGGGGGTGTCTGACCTGGCCAAAAAGTACTATGCTACGTTGGAAGCTATTGCTCTTCAGACCAGGCACATCTTGGCCGAGCTGAACGGCAAAGGCCACTCCATCACCAGTCTCTACATGTCGGGCGGACACGTCAAGAATGCAGCATTTATGCAGTTGCTAGCAGATGTTTGTCAGGTACCCGTGCTCTTGCCCAACAGCGCCAGTGCCAGCGTCGTGGCTGGCTCCGCTATCCTGGGACGCTTTGCTGCCGAACTCAGGGAAAAGGGTGTTCTGATCGAAACTCAAGAGCAGGCCGATAAGGCAGCATCGGACTACAGAGAGCGTCTATGGGAACTCATGGTACGTCCCGCGTCCTGCTCCTAGTGGGCTACGCGACGCTGCTCCTTCGTACTGACATAGCACCTTGTTGCGCATCTCAGACTACCATGACCAAGCCGGGCACTTTCGTCTACCCTCGTGCGGACGACAAGATCAATGCTCTCTTTGATGCCAAATACAAAGTGAGCTGCATGCGCCCTGCAGTCAACTACTTCCTCGCTAATTTGGCAACAATCTTTGAACTCTTGCAGATATTCCACGAGGCCATCGATGTGCAACGACGATGGCGCAAGATTGTGGCAGACGCCATAGATTGAATGGGAGAGGAGTTTTGAATAGAATTACGTGGTATGGATGTGGTTTGGGGTAGAATGGTGACTATCTCGCATCCGTGTGCAAATCTATACATCCGATCGCGCGATCCCAAAGAGCCCTTGTGCTAGTCGTACTCTAAGCTCGGAACGAATGGCTCGTCTTTCGTTCTTGGCTCCTTCAGTAGATAAACTCTTGTTTTCCTGCGCCCGACGCATCAGGTAAGGCATCACGTCGTCCAAAGCGCCCCAAGGCACGTACTTGGACACCAGTGGAGTCTGCTTCTTCGAGCTTGCGTCCTTGAAGGCGTGCTGCAACATCCTTGTCAGAGGGTCCGCCATGCCTAGGAGCTGCGCGAAGAGGATCCGACCATTGATCGAGTCGATCGGGACCAATCCGCGAGGCGGCTGATCGTCGGGGAGGGAGACATTCTGCTCTGTAGGCGCAGCTTGCACCAGACCGCCACGCTGCATCATGTCTAGCGCCCTGACAGCAGACGACACGTTGTGCGAGGCAAAGACGACAGACAATCTTGCTGGTCCGCCACGTTTGCCAAGGGGCCTGTCGACTTCATCCGCAATCTCCTGTAGCAAGCGCTCTGCACAAGCATCATAGCATTCGTCCGTAAGCGTTTTGCTTGACCAAACCGGACTGTTCCATTGCCCCTCTTTGGCCCTCGCAGCCTTCAGCTTGCGCTCGACTGGAGGCGTGGCAACTTGATGCTTTTGCCATGCATTGTTCTCGATCTCAACGTAGGCTCCTAATCATGGTGAAAGACATGGATGAGCTCTCGAACGGGCTCGATACTTTGCAATTCGCGAAAGCTCACCGCGTACGAGCTTGACTCCCAGGCCATATTGGCCATTCTTTGCGCGCTGCAATGACGAGGCGAGATGTGATGGAGTTCTTCTGAGGTAGGCCTAGAAAGTTTGCATCACCGTAGTCAGACTCGGCATCGCTCGGAGCTTATCGTAGCTTGCTCAGGTGCGAGGATTTGCTTTGCTACTCACCTGGTAAGTGTTGAATACGAGAGGCGATTCGTGGCCTTTTGCTGAAGCACTGGAAAGCGCATTGAACTCCTGCGCCAGAGTGTCGTACATCGCGTCGATAGCGGGCTGGTACCACGAGTACTCCGCATCAATCAACAACCTGACCTTCTTCTCTTTTGCCAAAAGAGCCACGCCCCGTAACTGCCTCCACAGCTCTGTGATTGTGCTGATGTCCTCCTCGGTCAGCTTGACGCGTGCACTCATTGGGATGACTAGTGGCGCACCGCTCGTCGAGATGCGTGGTGGAGCTGGAGCTGGAGGATCACTGAAGTGCTCTCGCGGCACGATCGACGCTGAAGCTCTCTCGAGGACAGAGGAGTCCGCAAGCAAGCCAGAAAGCTTGATGGCCACCATGATGCTACCTGGCGGCACCTCGTCCGTGCCGTCGCTGGCAGGGCAACCGCTCGCATCGACGTTGCCTGAAGCAAGATCCGACGCGACTTGGATCGAGTGCTTTGCCGCTTCAATAAGACGAAGGTGAACGGCCGAACTAGCCGTCTTTGCATTGTCGCTGCCACGCTCTGAATGGCACATCTCTGCATGCTTCACCTCGCAAGAGTGATTGAGCATCGTGCCTACGTTGGCAATTGCCAAGGACCGAATAAGCGGAACACATTCCTCCACCGTCTCGCCTCCAACAAACTGCGCCAAATGAGAGCGAATGGCAAGCTTAACATAGCCTCGCTCTGCTTTGCATACACCCGAGCGCAGGCGCTCACCTGTCCAAAAAAAGTCTTGCGAACGAGCCACGTAGCGAAAGAGGGTACGCCTGGCAGACTGGTGCTGCGGGACCATTGGATGAGGTCCGGAGCAATATCCGTGACGTAAGGCAGCGATACAAGCGACCAGACGATGTAGGAGCGTATAAGCGTCGAAGTGGGCTGGGAGATCATTGGTCGGTCTGGACCTGCTTGCGGTGTCGTCCATAGCATCGTGCCAGCGACGAGTATCGCACCGCCAGCTATGCTCATCCACATTCTCTTCCGTGCGCCATCATCGCGTCTTGCACATTTAGCATCCGACCTCGTTGCGTAGAAGCGATGAGTTGAAGTGCGTGCCAAGCGATGGTGGGCAGGGACTTGGGCGAGATGTGTCGATGCCTCTTTCGACGCTAAGCTGAATGTGGATGGGTGGGCCCATCTCGAAGCTGATCTCGACAAGGACATTGCAAGCCAAAGTGCTCTCCTGCTGCGCTAAATGCTACACACCTGTCAAGTCGAGGAGGTGTGTATCGTCAAGACGTGAGATCTTAGCGCTCCACTTGAAAGTGAAAGTGTGTTGAGACTCGTCGCTTCGAGCTCGAGAAGTTCAGGTCGTCGCTTGTCAACGGCTCTGCCAGCCGAGCATGGTGCTGATGGTCATCCCGACTGAGTGTGACATTGCACCCGCGTCAGGTCGTCGTCAGCCACCTGCATGGACACCGCAGTAGGAGTCTCCATTCAGATTGTGGTTCAGGAGTCACTGTGTTCAAACAATCACAATAACATCTGGGATCTGCGAGGTGGGGGCAAAGGGGGGCAAAGGGGGGCGAGCCGAAGACTTAATTGGGGCGGTGCACGGGGCTGGCGCCCAAAGGAAAGCGGCTTATCGATATGGATCAGCCAGCATTCGCCTGTGCAAGGGACCGGAGTGCGCGTGCGCGTGCCCGTGCGCCGTCCGAGCGCCGTCCGGAAACGGACCCGCGGATGCTGCGCACTCCCGGCCCCGCTCGCGATTAAATGCTGCCACACGCAGCACCCAGCAGCAGGCAATGAATGCATCTGCCGCGGCATAACTCCACTTCGTCACTCTGATGAATCAAGCTGGCTCACACACCCACAGCGGAGGGGATCAGCCGCCTCTTCTCGTGACTGCGATAGCTCACTGATGGCTCGATCCAGAAGGTCACAGACATGTCGCACACTCGTGACTCGCTGCTCAGTGCAGAGCTTGCAATCAGGCACTCGCCAGGTCCATTCACCCTTCACCATCGACGTTGCAAAAGCAGCTGAAGCGGGGGTATGTTCATCTTATTCCCTAAACGTCGCATTCAAAAATCAAAAGGCCCGCGAGGGGCAACAGCTCACCCTGCAGCGT